AGATGATCTTTAAGGTCCCTTCCAACTCTAACCATTCTATGATTCTATGATTCATTCTATGATCAAATTGATTTTCCTTCCCCAAGTTGAGCCTGTTTTCCCATGACCATAACAGATGAGTGACCCCTCCCTGCCTCAACCCACAGCCTTTCCTTGTACTTCCTCCTCCCCATCCCACGGGGCAGTGAGGGCTGTGGGGTGCTGAGTTGCCGGCTGAGTCTCAACCATGACAAAGAGAAGAATAACTTGGGTTTTGTTACATCAGATACACTAAAATTTGCAGAACTGATAATGTTCACTGAGATACTGCTCTGAGGATTCGTTAACCTCATTACTGTTACACAAATGCTGTTTCAGCGTTAATCTACAGCTCTGGATACACATACATGAAAGAGGACAGCGCAGGCACGGCCGGATTCAGGATCAGTTTTACGAGGAATCTGCTCATACTGTTCTGCTTTTGACTGTTCCTGGTTGTCACAGAGGCACTCGACTCCTTGACCAAACCAGCCGTAGTTTGGTTCAGGCTCCAGAGGAGGCGAAGGCCAAGAACTTCTCTAGTTCCCATCTGTTCCCTGGAAACCCCCGAAGGAGCAGAGGGGTGCAGGAAGCACCGTGGCGCGGGAGCTTGGCATGCCGACCGTAACTACCACACGAACAGCAGGCGGCTGTGCCGGGACTCGTTTGTCAAGGAACAGAGAGCTGCGGGTACAAGGAGGCTCATGCCCACCTTCCCCACTGCACAGTGTCTGCCTACGAGCCATCCCGCAGACATGACGGCTTAAACGAGCCGCCCTGAGCTCCCCCCGCGAGCTGGGGGCCCCCACGGTGGCTCCTCGAGGCAGAGACCTCTGCCACCGACAGATCAGCGGAAAGGGACCAACCGACCGTGCATCCTTGTGCGCCGTGACCCTGCCTTGGTCCCTCGACCACCCTCACAGCCCCCGCGCAGCCACAGTGAGCCCTCGCCATCCAACGTTCTCCACCCCCATTCCCACCAAGCTCCTGTGACTGGGGCTCTCCACCTGGCCGGAATCACCCCTCTGGGGCACCAGTGAATAACTGAGCCTGTGGCTGACTAAGTGACGAGGAGACAAAAACTGGCACAGGTCACTCGCCTTTAACAGAAACCTGCGTTTCAGGCTCAAAGGGCAGAGACACCGAGGTAAGCATTACTCCTAAACGAGGCGGAGGCAAGAGGTCAGTTTTCTTCCTAAAAGAGAATCCTAATGACCGTGTCTGGAAGGTTTTCAGTCCAGCACAGTAGTTCTGCAGTGGTCAGCAGAGTGGGGGAGGGGATTCTGCCCCTCT